GAGCGGTGACACACGGCCACGCTCCCCTGGGTGAACCCGCGGAGCGGCGTGCAGGATGGGGCCCGTAATTCTCCCTGCGCAACACCCGTTGACACGTCGCTAATTCTTCCTAATTGATTTTTCACGCTGGTGGGAGGGAGATGGTGACATCCAACAACAGAGCCCTGATGTCGCGGCTTTCTCCTCCATGAAAGGGGCCGGCACCCTCCCCCCGGAGCCGACATACTTCTCCCTGGCCCGGGTAGCCATGGTGAGATGTTGCCCAAATCCTTTCACCGCCGTGCCGCTGGAAGCTGGCGATGCTCCTTGCCGCCCGTGCCAGCCCGCTCGCCGCAGCTATTTTCGGGCACGCAGGCAAGCCGGCAGGAAAAATTAAAATAGCAAAAACCCTCCCAGGGCCGTATCCTGCCCCGGTTCCTTGGCAGAGGGGCCGCATCCATGCTTGGTGCCATCCCGGCACGTGGGAACCGGCAGCGGGTTCTGGATTTGGCGTTTCTGGGTTATTTTGGCGGCGGGCACCCGGTGCGGAGCGAGAAGGGGTAGGAGATGGGGAAGGGCCGGATCCTGCTCACTTCTGGGGAGCTTCCCTCGACAGCAGGAGGGCACAGAAAAGGGTAGTGTAAGGATGCGGAATCTGGCCCGCGGGACTTGGAGGGCCTCTGCCAGCGCTGCTGGCTGGCTTTTACACCTGTTCGATTGAAATCTGGGGATTTCTTTTTTAGCATGTTTTACATTTTGGCCCCAGCCCTCTCGAGTTTGGCACTTCTCCGCAGCACAACAACTTTTCTTAAATCAGCAGCTCAGGTGGAGGCGGGGGGGGTCAGGTCCACACCCCTCCCCCCATGGCAGGGATGAAGCCGCCGTGTCCCGTACCCATGGCGTGGATGCTGGACGTGCCACCTGCATCCCAGCACGGTGCCTGGATGGATGCCCACCCCGGGCAGTGGCCTGAGCCCGCGGGGATTGACCCCAACGATGCTTGAGCACCGACTCCACTCATGACACTTGTAGGCTGCTGAGAGCTCTGGGGAACAAGTGGGTGCCCCGGAGCATCAAAACGATGCTGGGCACCCACCCCAAGGGACCCCCCCCCCCCTTGCTGCAAACACCTCTGTCTCCATGCTCGTGAGCTGGATCCGGCCTCTGTGCCCTGCGGGGATGGAGCACGGCCTTGGCCAGACCATCCCCGGCAAATCCCCAATTTTGTAGGGGTTTTTTTTTGCAGATGGGACGTTCGGGAGGTGACGGTTCCCGCTGCCTCCGAGGGTAACCGAAACCCCCTGCGCCGAGGCTTCCTCTCGGGCGAGGAAGAGGAGGCCGGGAGCACGGGTGCCTGTGTACGGCACCGTCCCCACCTGCAGAGCGGTGGCAGGGTATGGCCCTCTCTAAGTATACGCCATTGAAATGTGCACATTTCCTAAAAGCAATATGGAACAGCTAAATATACTGCTCACAAATCTGTTTACACTAATAATGGCTGGGAGCCTGCCATCCATATGACTGCAAGGAACCATTGATTCAACATAAATTAACTGAAAATTACTTGCGAGAGGGAGAAACTCACGGCATTTTATATTTAATTTTTTTTTCCCCCCCTTGTCATTCCCCCCCCACCCCCATCGGGGAAGGGGGAAATGAGGAGACATTGGCACCTCTGCTACCGACAGCCATGGCTGCATTTGGCTCTGCTCTTTCCTCGCCGGCCCCTCTCCCCGGCCACAGTGATGGGGACCGGGATACCCGGCGAGCCGGGATTTTTCATCCCAGCACCGGGGACTCGAGCTGCCACCAAGGCTAAACGAACACAATATTTACCCGTTTTCCAAGAAACGGCAACGGAGACGGAAGGGTCCGAGTCATTATTTTGGTGCGGGCAGATTGCTAACTTGTTTAAATTTTTTTCAAAAAGGGGAAAAAAAAGAAGGAAAAAACCCACCAGAATTGGCAGCTCCTCATGTATTAGTCGAAATGCTGCAGACTTGGCTCCCGCTCACCTCCGCAACATAATGTTAAATGGCATCAAGACAGTATATCAGTCATTTACATATGTTGCTTATAGACGCCAAACTTATTAACACAATAAAACTGCTGCTAAGAAGCTTTCCTGCCTATTTTTCTCCTGGAGAATGTCAGTGTTGGAAGCACCTAGCCGCCTCGTATGGAAACACCCGGGGTTGCCTTTCATATGGCACCCGGGAAAATAAATACATGAATCACCCAGGGTCCCCCTCCGACCACTTTCAAAGCAAAGCCAGAGGGAGATTCATTGATTCAGAGCATTCTGCACCAGAAGAGCCAGCCAGCACCCAGACCACCCAGCAGCACTCCGTGAGCCCCAGCATCCCCCCCCAGGCACGCTGCCTCCCGGGACAGGCACCCAGGTGGGATGGGATGGCTTCACCCCAGGAATGGCTTTAACCCCCCCCGCTTTGAGGTGTCCCCAACTCCCTGCCCTCACAGCCGAGGTCTGAAAACACTGGAAGGGGGACCCTGGCTGATTCATATATTTATTTTTCCCGGTGCCATATGAAAAGCAACCCCGGGTGTTTCCATACGAGGCGGCTAGGTGCTTCCAACACTGATGCTCTCCACGCGGGAAAGGAGGCAGGAAAGCTTCTTAGCAGCAGTTTTATTGTGTTAATAAGTTTGGCGTCTATAAGCAACATATGTAAGCGGCTGATACACTGTCTTGATGCCATTTAACGGTATGTTGCGGAGGTGAGGGGGAGCCAAGTCTGCCGATCTCCCCTAATATAACTCCACGCAGTCCCCATGGGGTTCTGGGGGGACTCTCCCAGCACATCCGAGCGGGGACGGAACCTCTCCCCGTGGTTTCTTTGCCCCTGCAACGGTGTAATCTTGCAAGGGATCTCGCTTGCTTAGCTGCTGGAGCAAAGCCGGCACGAGCCCCGGGGGGATGCTGACGTGGGGGGTCACGCTCCGGTGCCGTCCCGGGGAGCACCCAAACCCTCCCCGGGGCTGGACGCGTAATTTCCTGTGTCAAAATTTCCTGAGCTCTTCTAGAAAGACATTTTTGCCGACCCTGCCATGCACGAAAAAGCATTTCTAAGGGACATCCTACAGCCCTGGAGAGAGGTACATGGTGGGCCATTAGCTGGGAGACCAGTCTTCACCCCCAAAACCAGTGCGGAGGGCTGGCTGAACCCAAACACCGCAGCTGAGCTCTTCTTCGTGCTGTCAGCGGTATAAACCCTCAAAACCATCCCCAGGCATCACAGTGCTAAAGCACGGAGCTCCTGATCGCAGCATCCTGAGGAGGTTTAAAGGCTGGGATGGGGGATGAGGGAGAGATCTGCTCCTGCCTGGGGCACAGCGATGCCATGCACCCGCTGCTGCTGCCACCCCAGGGACTACGATGACAAACCAGGGGCAGTGGTTTAGGTTTTGCTCCCAGTGGCTGGGGGGGGGCTGGGTTGCACCCCGGGGACCACCAGGACCCCCACAGCTCTGCCCCCCGATGCTGTACCCGCTGTCACCCCAAGGAGGACCACGTCCTGTACCCATATGGCAGGCGATGCCACCCGCGGGGCCGTGTGTGCTGCTGGTGCCTGCGGCATTGGCGCCGCACTGACAAGTCGTGTCACAAGCAGGTGATGCAGACGCTGCCCAAAAACCCGCGTGTTTCAGTGCTGCTGCCCTCCATGGGCCCCGGCGTGGGTGAACCGGCTCATCGCCCCACTCAACCCGTGGGCAAAACAGGAGACGTGGGGTCCCCAAGGTCAGGCACAAGGTCAGGGGAAAGGTCCCCAAGCACCCAACCTCTGGACAGCACTTTCAACTAATGAGTCGCAGCCACTTTCCCCAAAACCGTGGCCCTGTGGGACCACCTTGCTGAGCAGAAGTGACCGGAGCAACCTCTGTCCCGGGTGCAGGTGCAGCCTCAGCACCAGGACGACCATCGCCACCAATGGCCGAGGGTGCTGCAGCTTTCTGAAAGGCTTTATCAAGGCTACAGGCACCTGCACGATCATCTCGAGATGTTTCAAGGGACGCAGACGATCCTTTCAGGAGCTGGGGGTTTCGATGTCTACAAGGAGCTGGGTGCAAAATCCTGTTTGCTTTGCAAGCGCGAAATTCCCGTTCATGACACCTGGCTGCAACCGCACCAAATGGCCTTCAAGATCTTCCACCTCTGAGTATGTCTGAAGCCCACCAGGACCCGCCACACCAGAGCCCAATCCGTGCAGGGTTTCTGTACCGACGTACCAGTCAGGCCATGCCGGAGAGGTGAGGGTGGATGCAGCCCCCATGGAAAAGCCAGCGTGACCATTGCGTAGGTGGGTGAAGACCCAGCAGCATCTTTCCTTGCTGGACTCGCCTCTTCCAGCCCATAGCTATGTGACCTGGGCAGCTTCCCCTTCCCGGGCTCGGTGGTGGGATCCTTTCTCAATATCAGCCTGACTCAGTAGACTAAAGCTATCTCCCGTCCATCCATGTCAATGTACACATCTACTACCATTCCCATGCCATCTCCATCCATCCACTATCAATGGACCAAATGACCAAACCACCTTAAAAAAGGGAGACTGAGGGAGGTGAGGTGAGGTGAATAACCCGCTGAAGCCCACCGGGTTGTGTAGGGTCAGTTTATTCCCATCCAGCATATCCCTGAACCAAATGAAAAAAAAAAAAAAAAAAAAGCTGAAGAAGCAGCCCAGGACAGACAGGCTCCAGACCTCCTTAGCCCCCCCAACCCAAAATACAGCCTCATTCCTCCCTTCTTCACTTCGGGACCACACTTGGAGGCTGACGAGAAGAAATCCGGGCAGGGTAAGGAGCTGTGCCCATGGGAAGAGCAGGTGGGAGAGGTTAGGAGGAAACGATCCAGCACTTTGAAGTCTGGTCAACTTTTAACATCCCGGCAAGCTGCGCCCGTGGCCACGCTCCGAGGCCCGGGGCCTGATTTTCCACATTCTGCCCTTTGATGCTGGAGGCCGATGTGTTATAGATTAACGAGACCGGGGAGGGGGGGGACGGGGATGACGGACTGCACCTGCCGGCAGCGTGCCGGATCCGGCCCCGGCAAAACCTGCCTGCTAGGGCTGCTGCGGAGTGAGGAAGGGGTACGGGCAGGGATTTGAGTCCAGGCAGGCGAGCGGTGGCCAGGGCTGGGGGATATGGATGGATGGGGACGGATGGGGATGGATGGGGACGGACCCGCTGCCCGCCTGCCCATCGCCAGGCACCCCCGGAGCTGCCCCTCTACCCCCAACCCCAAGGCCAGTTTTTGGTGCCTGTTCTGTCTCCCTCTCCCCCTCCATCGCTCCTCTTTCGTTTGCTCCTTGGGAAAAGCCTCACTGTTGTATTTTAACAAGCAGCAGACCCCCTCCCCCCCCAGTTTCCCCCACCAGCACCCCCTAATCCCGGTGCTGCACCCCCCCTGCCCAGCCCTGCCTGCCCACCGCCGCTGCCGGCCGCATCCCTCCGCTGCGCTGGCACGCTCTGCCGCTCTTTCGTTAAAAAAGAAAATGTCTTTCTCCTCCACCCAGAGCTCCTCCTGGCCAGAAATCCAGCGGGAAGGCAGGCTGCTCCTGGATCACCTCCTCCCCGGGATGCAGGGGCTAAAGTTTTCCGCTTAATAAGCTGCGGACAGCAGGGGCTGGAGCAAGGCACCCGCCTGGGGGGGGTCCGTGTTTTATTCCAGTGGGGGATAAAGATCCTGCCTGAATTATCCTGGAGGTGGGAGCAGGCCTGGGAGCAGCAGGGGGAAAAAGAAATGTAAAGGTAAATTTGGGGCTCTCGCCTGGTTTTCAGCATAGCAGCTTCCCAGCTCCCTTCGGAGCAGCCAGGGAGCCTTGCCTGGACACCAAGCCGGGACTGAAAACCACCTGGGGCGAATAGGGGAAAAAAAAATCAATTTAAAGGTTTATAATTTTCCAAGACAGCGATTTATCCCCCAAACCAAAGCAGCTCCCCCCAAAAAAGGTTCCTGCGGAGACGGGGCGCGGAAGGGAAATGCTGCCGGCGGGGATTCCCGCGGTGAGCAGCCAGCGCTCGGCCGGCTTTTTCTTTTTCCCCCGCAGAAGATGCTGAATGCTGGCGCGATCCACATGGAACGAAATCCCGGCCCCGCGCAGCTCCCAAGGGGTGGCTGCTGGAAGGCAGGGGTGGAGGGTCTGCACCCCCACCTTGCCGACCCCCCAGTCCAGCCCAGGGTGGGTAAAGAAAAGAGTGAGGAAAAAAAAAAAATTAAATTGAATTATCTATTAAATTGATTTAAATTAAATTCCACAAATGGTCCGGAGCTGGGCACAGCTCCCGTGTCTGAGCCAAGCGCTGTCTCCACATCCCCCTTCCCTT